GAGAGAGAGCGAGAGAGTGTGTGAGAGAGAGAGAGAGAGAGAGGAGAGAGAGAGAGAGAGGAGAGAGAGCGAGAGGAGAGAGAGGAGAGAGAGAGAGAAAACCCTGACACACACACACACACACACACTTTGAATTATAACACTTTTATGACATTATTTTCAAGACAATTAAGCATATTTTCCCCAAAATTCTCATTACAACAATGCATTTTTATATGCATATTTTATGATTAAAAATAATGTCATAATGCAAAAACATATTAATGGTCCTAAAACAGGCTTTAATAACAAAATATTATTTCTTGGTTCTTTATTTTGGTTTTGAGGTGAAATGTGACCCTGACATGTTCCTGACAGCTGTTGTGTATTTGTATTTTGTATTTATAAAGCACATTTCAATACAACCGAGGTTGCCCAAACTGCTGCACATCAAAATAAAATAAAATAATAAGAATAGGCAAAGGAATCAACCATTACACAGAAAAAAACATAGAACAAACACACGCCTAAGAATTAATAGCATGGGGACTTAAAAGCCAAGATTTAAAACTAGAAATGATTTGATACATAGAGGCAATGAGTTTCAAAGTTTGGGGGCAGCAACCGAAAAAGCACGATCTGGGAACCACTAAAAGAAACTGATCAGAGGATCTCAGGGGCCTAACAGAGGGATGCCGGTTCACTAATGTCTCCAGGTATTTTGGTGCCAACCCATTCAGAGATTTAAAAGCAAAGAATAAAAGTTTATATTCAATCTGGAAACAAACTGGCAAGCATTTGAGAGAAGTCAGCAATCACGTCAGCAATCTCGCAGCCGCATTTTGAACCAACTCCCATATAGACAGTATTACAATAGTCTAAACCTGAAAAAATAAGAGCATGAATAACTATCTCTAGGTCTCTAAAATAAAGAAAGGGCTTTATCTTTGCTAAAAGTCTCCAATTAAAAAAGCAGGATTCGACCACAGAATTGATTTGCTTGTCAAATCTGAATTATGAGTCAGATTTTTCACCACTGCTTTATTATGCTCAGCCAAGGAGCCAAGAATAGAAATTATAGTGGTTTGATTTCCAACTGGACCAAAAAAACAATCTCAGTTTTATTTAAAAACAATTATCACCATCCAGCCCTTGATGTCAGTTAAGCCTAGTCCCAGACTAAAATGTAAATCTGAGCTGTTTCAACTGAAAGAAACTTACTTTTTGTCTCAAGTTGCACAGCAGTAATGTTTTTTTTTTCCTAAGGCACGTTTATAAAAATGACTTCATCTCTGAAATTACTGCAATAAACTGAAAATTGAGTGTTTACTATTGTCATTTTGCATTATTGACACACTGTTTTCCTATTTAATACTGTAAAGTTGCTTTGACACAGTCTGTATTGTTAAAAGCGCTATATAAATAAAGGTGACTTGACTTAAATGTCCTAATTGAACTATGGCCTAATCCTGGCTCAGTCTAAGCCCTGTCTGTGAAACCAGGCCCATGTTTCCTAAAAATAGCTCCCAAAGGGGTGCGATTCACTTATAAAAAAGAAGGCATATGAATATGTTAAACAGTAATTCAGTTCCATGGTTTATGTCAATGTACTGACTAACTAACTGACAGCTTTATCATACCGCCACAATGCACCGTAAGTCTTTTAAGCGTAGTTTGTGGCCCTAAACGCTCTACTTTCATGCTGTCTGCCTGAAACCGAATGACTTTAGATAAAAGAGGCTCAAAAATGACATCAATCGGCATAAATGAAGATAATCGTTAGTTCCAGCAGCTGAGAGATGTGTATTAGTACCTTTTCTGAGCTGCAGTTGGAGTTTCCCTCTGAATAACTCCAGAGTGAGCGTGTGTCCGCTGCGTTCCTCCACGTGAACCAGCATCCCAGAGTTCAGCAGGGTTTTGAAGTTCATGGATAACACGTCTCTGTCTGCCGGACTGGCGCTGGGATCCGGCCTGAAGAGCAAATGAGCGCTGCCATCAAAACCGACCACATTAGACTCTGAAAACACACCAGAAACGAACAACTGTAACTGTAAAAACGACTGATTTCCATTCTAGTTAACAAGGCTTCACCTTCATTCAGTAAATACATTGTAATGACATTACAACAAACATACAAACAAGCAAACAAAAAATTAATAACATAAAAAATTAACTAAAATAAATACATAAATAATAACCGACATTAATTAAACCAACAATTATATAAATAAATCAAATTAAATAAATAATAATGAAGTAAAATAAATAAGAGACAATAATAAGTAATAAATAAGTAAAATAAATAAATTTAAATAAATAAATAAATTTAAATAAATAAACTACAATAAATAAATACATAAATATACTAAATAAGTAAACAATAGTGATAATAATGAACTAAAATTTAAATAAATATCTAATTAACAAATAAATATTTAAATAATGAATTATCAAATAAATTGAAATCAACAAATCCACTAAACGTAAATAAATAATAATGAACTAAAATGAATTAATTAATTAATTAATAATGAACAATAATAGATAATAGTAATGAACTAAAATAGATAAATGAATAAATAAATAAATAACAATTATACACAGATCATAATGAACTAAAATAAATATTTTAATAATGAAATATCATCAATAAATTGGAAATTAAATACTGAACTATATTAAATAAATGCACTATACATAAATAATAATGAACTAAAAAAATAATTAAATAACATATAAAGTAACAAAATATGTAAGTAAATAATAACAATCTAAAATGAAAACAATAATAATGAACTAAAACAAATAAATAAATATTTAGATCATGAACTACAAATAAATAAATAAATAAATAAATAAGGGATTATAATAAATAAATAATGAAGTATGATAAATATATAATGCACAATAGAGAATGTAAAATAAATAAATAAATGAATAAATAATGATTCTGTGTGTGATGTTTACTCAGTGTCAGTTTATTGTTCAGCGTCACTGTAAGTCAGTAGTTTAACTTCCTGAAGACGGCAACACTGTGACGTTCTCAAAACATTGATCTGTTTATTTGCGCACTCTGACATGTCAACAAACCCCTGATGCTAACTATTAAACTCTGTGCATTATAATTAGTGGCGTATACAGCGTGTTTGTGCAGGTCTGTTGTCACTGTAAGCGGAGCAGAGAGAGTTTAAACCTGAGGTCAACAGAGATGATGCAAACGCCTGACACTGGACTGAACCTGCAGATGCCAGCAATAAATTATACATCTTCATGAATGAAGGGAAAAAAAAGACTCCATCCCTAATGGTCTGCTATATTTATGAACATGGAAACAATCCAAAAGCTCTTAATGCACTTGAGGCAAATAAACACTCTATGTATGTTGACCAGAGCTTTTGCCCTGCGGTTCTGCCCCGTGTGACTCCAGAGACAACACGTCTCATTCAACAGAGCAACGGGACAGAACTGCCACACAGGACCTCTGAGAGACCAGTCATACATCAGGCCAGAGACTCAAACACACTCGTCTGAGTAACGCGTGTTATAATGACCTAATAAGCGATATAAGCGGTTGCATAGGGCCCCGTGGCCTCCAGGGGGCCCCATGTCAGAGTTCAGACGGTAAAGCTCGATAATAATAACTTTTATAAAAATTTCAGTCGTGTGTGCTAATGTTTGAAAATGAAGAGGCGGCACTATAAAATTGGTGCAGACTACAGAGAAGTGTGAAAAGAGAAAAGAAAGTGAGCAAGATAAGGGTACATGACGGATTTTGAAAATATATTTTCTATCGACCGGTTAAGTTTTACAACACTGCGCTGCGCTTTTGCCATGTAAAAGTTTGGTCGGATTTTCTCATTTATGTGAAAAAAGCAGCAGACGGGCTGAAAAAAAAAGTTTCACTCTGAAAATAGTTCACTCTGGCAGCAGGTGGCGCTTTAGGAACAGCAGAAATACACCGTTACCATGGTTACCCCTGAACTCAAAGCAGCGCTGCGCAAGCGCAACTTCTGACACCTGCTTGACAGTATTTACATGTTTTCAAACAGCCATTCAGATATTTTTTTATGTTTATCAAATAACACAAATATTTAAATATACCATATCTCTATTCAAACATTTGTTTACACTTATACATTTTTGCATTTTAAAGCCCAAAATAGATTATTCTGCATTATTATTGATAATAATAATACATTATTCTCTTTAATTTTCATAATCCAGGTGTTCTTGCTTTATTAAAGCATTAATCTCACAAAATTTTCATACATTTTTCTGAAAGCAATGGTTAAGCTTTTACATTTTTAAAAGTTTTACATAATTGTTAAAAGAGCTTAATAAGTAAATATATCTTCATATTAATGTATTGAAAGATAAACACTGAGTAGATGATTAAGACAGTTTGGAAATTTTTTACAACAGGGTTGTAATAGTTATAGTTAACTAAAAAAAAATGTTACTTGAAATAAAATAAACGTTAACTGAAATAAAATACTTATACTGTTTTATTTTAGCTAGTTGACAAGGCAACATTTCCCATTTTCATTTAGTTTATCTTGATGTTCTAAAACAACTAACACTAAAACTGAAATAAAACATAATATCTATACAGAAAATCAACAAAACTAATAAAAACAAACAATAAAATTACTAAAACTTTAAAATGAAAATGACAGTAGAAAATATAAAAATAATTAAATATATTAACAAAAACTATAATAGCACATGAATGATACTAAAATAACCAACCCAGTCTCATAAAAATACGTACCTCTGGGTACTGTTCTGCAACACCGTTTTTACGTACCTTACTGCACGTTTCGCCGCAGTTTCAAACAGAAATGTCCACTGAGTGGCGCTAAAACACGGGTTCAATACGTGAACCCTGGTACGTTTTTATTACGTTGATATAGGTACGTATTGCGACGATTCAGAATTCAAATATCCGGGGACTGTCGCTAAAAGTTAATGCTCTATCGTGTTGGAAATATGCCCTACACCAAACCCAACCCTAAACCTACCCGATAGTGTTAACAAATGCAAAACTGATATAAAAACACATTTTTTGATGCAACCGTGCCGTTTTAACTTCCTGATATGCAGATTTGAACTGTTTTGTCGAACCGTAGTTACACGGGATTCGTACCGGAGCTCCTCGCCTCTCAAGTACATATCCGGGTACTCCGTGAGCTACCGAACAAACCTATCATCTATGAAAACCCATTGATATGAAGCTGGATATGTGCGGTGCTAACATTCAAAAGCATCAGTTTTCTAATCTCCCAGCATATTAAAAATGTTTTGAAGTCACGACATAATACTCTTCAAGTAATTGTGCGAAAATTATGCTTTATTAATCGAAACTCTGTAAATCATATTTTGTGTGAAAATAATTTAAAAGGTGTCGGAGTTGTACTGCCTCTAGTGTTCATTTCTTTTGGAAACTGCAGTGATATGTACTTATTGGTACGTATTTCGCGTCTTGCGAAAGTGTGCCCCCAGGTACGTTTTTGCCATGAGACCGGGTAGAAAGTAACATTGCTTTACAATAAAGTGTCAGTGTAAGATGTATACGACGGGGGATGGGGGGGCCCCTCTTTTGAAAAACTGCCTAGGGCCCCCAAAATGCTAGGGCCGGCCCTGCTTGGTGATATGTGGCGTTAAACTGTCATATTATAAAGCACAGACTGATCTGGAGTTTCATTAAGGTTGTCATCAGCAAACTAAAATAAATTATATTTAAAGGTAAACTGCATCAGATCGAAATCCAAAAATAATGAGTCTTACCAAACAGGTCTTCCACTGGCTGCGTAAACACACAGTCTCACACCTAAACTCACTACATTGCTTCCATTTACACACCGTTTTGAAAGTTCTGATCAATGTTTTGGAAGTGTCACAGTGTTTCACTCTTCAGGAAGTCAAAACAGAATATTTGGACAGTTCACAACATGCAAGATTAAAAATCATATTTAACTAAAAACATTTGAATGATTTTAACTTATATTTAAATTAATGAATAATAATAATAATACTATTACATTTCTATCATAACAAAATATTTTAAACAATATTAAATAAAATTCATAACATGAAAGTTTTTAAATCAAATTTAAATAAATAAATGAATAATACCAATTATATTAATTTGACTTTATAACGTAAAAGATTAAATCATATTTAAACAAATAAATTAATGTATTTGTTTAAATACACAAATTATTTTTTATTCAATTTAAATAAATACAAATGTATTCATATTTAAATGGTGAATGAATAGCTGAATAACGAACATGATAATAATTTCATAATTTAAATACATTTCATATTTAAATAAACAACATGAAGGATTTTAAATCATATTTAAATAAATATATAAAAAACATTTATAACATTTTATTCATATTTACTCTAAATTAATGAACAAGAAACTAATTTCATAACATAAAAGATTTTAAATTACTTTAAAATAAATGCATACATTTTATAATATGAAATTAATGTTCAAATAAAAAAACATAACATTTTAATTCATATTTGAATGAATGAATGAATAAATAACTATAATAAATTAATTTCATAACAAAAGATTTGGAATCATCTTTTAATAAAAAAACACTTCATAATATGAAAGATTGTTAAAGACGTACTGTATTGGCAGCCATAGGCCTCGAGTCTCAGGCCGATCCTGCCGTTGGGGTTCCAGTGGAGCGGCAGTATCCGGACGTACTGAGCGATGACCGGCTGCTGGAGTTTGTACATCACCACACTGTCAGCGTTCGAGTTCCCAGAGAAAGCCTTGCATGAGGAGAACAACAGCGTTACGTGACCTTTTGTGGTTTGACCTGATGCACTAATGCGCTCCTGCATCTTTTATGTTTCCCACTGGATCATAAAGAAGCATAAAGATAAAGAGAGCAGTCTATAACTCTTGTTCAGCTTAATACGAGGCGAGAGCCTGTGGTGATTGGAGCGACTCGACACGGCCACGGGTCAGCGAGCAGCGCTCCTCTCCATCACGTCACTGTATTAAAGGAAATCAATACAGCACTAACCTGCTGAACTAAAACACTGATCTCACTACTAAGACCGGCTTGTTAGGCTGGTCTATGACCAGCTGAATAATTGTCATTTCACGAGTTCACACTTACATATAATGAACAGAGTAAAGGTTATGCGTATTTGGCATGCTGTCCGGGGAGAGGGCTCCGAGCTCGGTTATTGCTCTCTAGCCCGGGGTACTCCCCATGTCCGGGGAGAGGGGTCCGAGCTCGGTTATTGCTCTCTAGCCTGGGGTACTCCCCCTGTCCGGGGAGAGGGGTCCAAGCTCGGTTATTGCGCTCTAGCCCGGGGTACTCCCCCTGTCCGGGGAGAGGGGTCCGAGCTCGGTTATTGCTCTCTAGCGTGGGGTACTCCCCCTGTCCGGGGAGAGGGGTCCGAGCTCGGTTATTGCTCTCTAGCGTGGGGTACTCCCCCTGTCCGGGGAGAGGGGTCCGAGCTCGGTTATTGCTCTCTAGCGTGGGGTACTCCCCCTGTCCGGGGAGAGGGGTCCGAGCTCGGTTATTGCTCTCTAGCGTGGGGTACTCCCCCTGTCCGGGGAGAGGGGTCCGAGCTCGGTTATTGCTCTCTAGCCCGGGGTACTCCCCCTGTCCGGGGAGAGGGGTCTAAGCCCGGACACAGAGCGCTCCCCCCGAGTGTTCCTCCCCGTGCTGGGGTAGGAACGGGCTGAAGGTGAGGAGTCGGGGTGGTGGAAGGATGCTGAAAGACTAGAGATAATGGAGGTAAGGCTGCTTTGATTATTTATAGGGGTTCTCTCTTGTGCTGATTGGATAGATGGTGTAATTACTGATGATGGACTGGCCGTGTTAATTATCTGCGCATGCTCCTACCAAAATTTGTTAATAAAACATCACGTATAATTAGGCTGACATGTTTTTTATGTTTACATGAAATGCATTATTGTGTTAAAAAAAAATCTCACCATATGTACAGCACAGCACATGTACTGGACATATATATAAAATATAAAATAATATTAAGTTTCAGTGTCATTTTTTTAAATCAATGAAACAATACATTATTTTTTCATTATCATTAGCAAAATAAAAGGTAAAATTATTAAATATAAAACAAATACTATATACATAAAATATTATTACAAATTTAATTTAAAATAAATTATAATTATACAACATACATTAAATATATTAAATTACATAATTAAATTATATATATATATATATATATAAAAAATGTAAAATACGTATAAAATTCTATTAAAATTTATTATATTTACATTTTTAAATGTATGTTATATGTATATGTATGTTAATTATGCTTAATTATACAATATAAATTAAATTACATAATTAAATTATAATATATATAATTTAAAATACTTATAAAATTCAAATAAAATAAATTATATTTACATTTTAAAATGTATATTAAATCTAGAAAATGATATATACAATAAATATAAATAAACAAATGTTATATAAATGTTAAATCATTAATTATATAAAAAAATTAAATTAATATAAAATATGAACACATCCTAAAGCAACTTTTAGGTAGTGATGGAATTAATGTGTTAAAATCTGTAAAGCTTAAAATGTATGTCAAATATATAAATACATAAAGTAATAAATGTAAAAAAAACTATAATAAATATGAAATTATTACAAAATTATATAAAAAATAGAATAACATATTTAAGTTATTTTTATATTTATGAAGGCATTAAGTTTATATTGTTGTATATTAATATGTAAATAAAATGTATAATGAATGTTAATATATAAATAGATAACATAATAAATAAACGTAACAAAAATATAATTACTAAACATCAAAATATAGATTAAATGTATACCCAAATTAAAAAGATAAAATATTTATATAATTAATTATGAAAAATACACAATCTACCTGTCAGCTGTTTAGGCTAAGACACATCTGAACGACCACCAGAACCAGCGGGCTCCAATTTGAGAGACCAGTCAGACCAGCTTAAACCAGCTAAAACTAGCACAGCACCTCAGGCTTTCATAATCAGGGTATTTTCCAGTTAAGGTCCTGCTGGCTATTTAAAGAGGCAAACGGAGGCACCAAGTGAATTATTTTGCAGGGAGGAGCATTCATTTTGTCCTTAAATCTGTCAGAGATGTGTGCAATTTGGAGTTCTGGGTTCAGAGTAATTGGGAGCTGAGTAGCGCTCTCAGTGTGTTTGAAGGGATCAGCCGTCTGCTGCAGTGCAGCGTTAAGCCCAACAAATTGCTCTGTTTCCTGCTGAGGAGGCGCATCTCATTTGCTCAAAAGTGGCCTGTGAAATACATCGAGAGTCAAGGTGCAAATCCTCCAGCGTCAGGAGCGACAAGCTCTCGCTCTCACGAGAGGAAGAAACACAGGCGCTCGCGTCTTCAACTCTAAACGCTTCTCGTGACAGACGGAGTCGTGACTAGCGTTTCTCACTGCATACTGATGAGTCTCGGGTCTGTTCTGATGGGTCAGGAAAAAACAGCACTGAATGTTAATTATAACATGCAACTAATCATACAGTCATGTAAACAAATTTGGGGTGTGATTTTTTTTTTTTTAAAGGAAATTCATACTTTTATCCAGCAGGGATGCAGTAAATTGATCAAAAGTGTCAGTCAAGACATTTATAATGTTACAAAATATTTATATTTCAAATGAATGCTGCTCTTTTGAACTTTTAATTCACCAAATAAACCTGAAAAACAAAATGTATCACGGTTTCCTCAAAAATATTGTGCAGCACACCTGTGTTCAACACTGATAATAATCAGAAATGTTTCTCGAGCAGCAAAGCAGCATATTATACTGATTTCTGAAGATCATGTGACACTGAAGACTGGAGGAATGATGCTGAAAATACAGCTGCGCATCACAGAAATACATTACTGTTTAACAGATATTCACATAGAAAACAGCTATTTTAAATTGTAATAATATTTCACAATTTTACAGATTTTACTGTATTTTTGATCAAATAAATGCAGCCTTGATGAGCATAAGCTCTTCAAATATATAAAAAATATATATATATATTTTTGTTGTTGACATTAAATTAAATTTTCATTCATTTCTGCACAAACCTGATTTTGTTACTGAGTTTGGTCATCAAATGTAAATTAGCATCTTGAAGAACACTAGTTTGATTAATCAATAAGTACAAAGCACACAGAACAGACGGTATGGCATTTCGGCAAACAAACGTGAAGACGAGAAAAGATCTGAAACTCAATTAGCATCTATTCTCTGAGTGTGAAAACGAAATAAACCCTCTCACACACTTAACAAGCTCAATTCAATAACACACTTAGCTAGTGCTGAACTCACTGGAGAGCAGGAGGAAGCTTACATCTGTTTCTAAATCTGATTTAAGATTACACATTGAAGGAAGAGAATTAGATTCATATTTTTAAATGTCTGTTAAATAAATAAATTAATAAATAAACATTTATTATAATAAAATTACAATGATAAAATATCTAAGATTGCACACTGAATGAGGAAAATTATATGTATAATTTTAAATGTATATTAAAGACATAAATAAATAATAAATACATTTTATATTTAAATGAATAAATGAAATTCTTACTCTGCATTATAGGCCGAGCTGCATGGATTGCATCACGCGCTGTTTATAACTGATCCAATGCTGATCCATTTGTTAGGAGAAAACAACTGCTGCCTTCTTAGGGAGCATCCCAACTGAAATGTAAGCCTTATAAGTGGCCAATAAGAAACACTCTACATAGGCACTTATTGTGAAGTGCACAAACTCACAATGTTTTTTTAAAGCATTAGCATCACACACAAATATTGGTATAGATATATATATATATATATAGTATATTATTTTATAAGTATACATATCAATTTGATAATTATTCACATTAATTCATATCGACCATTAGATACATTCACAAAGGGTTTGTCACAATGCATTCTGGGACTGTTTTCAGAGTGTGATGTCTTAAATTTCAGAAAGAAAGCAGCAAATTTATGTAATTAAGTCTGTGTTCACGATGCATTAATGTGCTGTCTAGGTAGGCAGCTCACTAGACTTCGGAACAGACTATTTTTTCCCCATTTCTCCTTCATGCTGGTGTGAAGTTACGCTCATTCATCTATACATCTTAATGAGGATAAAGCTGTTCCGCGGTAAAATCCTGTTAAAAACCTGCTTGTAGTCGAACAACCACATCATCAGACATCACTGATCTTTTCATTAGGGAAATTCTCTTTGTGGCTTTCAATATCGCATCTAACCCTGTGCATTATGGTTTGAAAACAATAACTGACTCAAAAATGAATGTTTCGTGTCCTAAAGGAATTGCTTTCTTTCGTGGAAGACAAATGAAGATGTTTAGCAACCTTTTCACTTGCATACAATCTAAACACAGGACAAAAAAACACTATTATACTGTATATAGCCATAACAGGCTCTTCAGATTATCACTTTGGTGTTTTTAGAGTTTTTTGGTGTTACTTGAAAAAAGTAATCTGATTACGTAACTCGCGTTACTTGTAATGCGTTACCCCCAACACTGGTCTTCACACATTTTCACTGTCTCCATCTTTGCCCCATGATGCTTTGCATGAACAATGGAAGTAACTTCTGTCAAACTGTAAACAATCAGCCAAAGATTTTCTCTATGAACGCAAGCATTTTCATAAACTTGGTACTATGAGGTGACATTATAAATACTGTATTGACCAGCTTTAGAAACCTTACAGTAAAGGCTGCTGATAGGGATTAGAATTGAAAATGGGAGACGATAACATTTTAAAGCATCCGTGTGAAAACAATCCTGCAAAGAGACGTGAGGATTTAAAGAGAAAAACCAGAGATTCTTAGTGCATTCAGTGAATTATTCTTGAGATAGAGTGTACATTAAGACCACAAATGCGCAGATATGTTGTCTTTTTCAAATTGTTACAGTGGAATACAAAGTGGATCTTTAAGTGGAACTTCCTCAAACTGGAAGTGCCTTCCATAATTTAAAACGCAGTAAAGTCTGTTAGGAAACAGGTGGATAGAAAAGTCAACATGAACAGCCTTCAAAATATCTCCTTTTTAGGACCCCATGAAATACGTTTTACTTTTTCCAAATGTTTGTTTATTTATTCCCAAATTCTGTGTTTGTTTCTGTTTAAATTGTTTTGGATTCCTTTTTTTTCTATTTACATTTTTCTGGACTAAAATTTTAGTAATCAAAAAGCATGTGTAATTATAAAAAAAATATGCAGAAAATTATGCAAAAAAATAATAATAATTTAATAAAAATATATGGCCCCATTTTATTTCCCCCTCAAATTATGTTTTATTTTTACCAAATCTTCTGTTTTCCATTTTCATTTTTGTGGATTCCATTTTAATAATCAAAGAGCATGTGTCATTTATTTTATTCATAAAAAAACAACTATTTATTTATGCATTACATTAATAGTGCTCTATGAAATCCCCAGATACAGATCCCCTGTAAAGACCTCGTCTCAGACGACCACCGGGACAAGACCACAGGAACCAGATGATTCCTCTGCACAATGTGACTTTGCTGCAGCCTGGAATTGAACTGCTGGTTTCGTCTGGTCAGAGGAGAACTGGCCCCCCGACTGAGCCTGGTTTCTCCCAAGGTTTTTTCTCCATTCTGTCACCGATGAAGTTTTGGTTCCTTGCCGCTGTCGCCTCTGGCTTGCTTAGTTGGGGACACTTCATTTCCGGCGTTATCGTTGACTTGATTGCAAAGATACTATTTAAACTGAACTGAGCTGGATGATGAATTCAATGATGAACTTTCTTTAACTTAAAAATTAGTATTTACTATTGTCATTTTGCATTATTGACAAACTATTTTCCTAATTAATGCTGTTCAGTTGCTTTGACACAATCTGTATTGTTAAAAGCGCTATATAAATAAAGGTGACTTGACTTGACTTCGACTTTTTTCACAAATTCTGTGTTGTGCATTTACATTTTTCTGGTAATCAAATGAAGGCATAAAACATTCATTTAACTTATCTTTTGATCCAAAGAAGTGCTGCACAACAGAGGTTTACCATTAAAATTAAAACATGGATGAAACATTGTATGATTATTCCTTAAACATAATGGCCATGTTTGAATAATAATAATAATAATAATTATTATTATTATTATTATTAATACATTGAGACATTCTACTGTAAAATACTGATATATTTCTGTCACAGTTTCTTCAAGTTTAACCAGACTTTTATTTTGACGGGTTGCCGTAAAGAACAGCGCCATTCATTCAAGCAGAGACACGCAGAACATGCAGGATTCATATTTAAAGAGTCTTTTTGTGGTTTAATATTCACAGACAGTAGTCCATATCGCCGTTTGATGTGTACTGACAAAATCTGACAAATTCCTTGACATTCCGTTTTATAAAGTAAATTGATTCCGTCTGTGTTTTCCGTATCGCGGAAATCATGCGCCCATACTTTTGTGCTCTAGAGAACTCATGCAGATTTAAAACAAGTAAATAATAACAGAATTTCAATATCAAACAGGCAGTTACTGTGTAAGCATTAATATTCTGAGTGCATCACAACAGAGTCCATTTACCTACAGCCGACCATAAAGACTGACACCAATAAGCCTGAAAATCCCGTTAAATCCCTCTTAAGTAGCTGCATTCGCTGGCCACCCGTAGAGCCGAGTCCCGCGCTGCAGATGTGGATCCGTACACCTCAGCGGCGCAGGCTAAATCAGATCAGACGGCATCATAAACGCTACCTGTTCCTCGTAAATCATGATAAAACCACTGAACGGTGGGGCGCCGAGGTGCGCCGGGCGAGAGCGACATCTGCTCGGTACAGGAGCCGCGGCGCATCGGCAGCACGGGAAGTGAAAGTGCAGAGCCAGCCAGACGGGTGGAGCCCGGCGAACCCAAATCCAGTCGCCCGGCGAGTCTCGCTCATAATCAGGACAGCCAAACTCAAGATGAGGATATTCTAGAGCCCGACAGAACCGATATACACATCAGAAACGCCAAAGCTAATAGCCAGAGGATGATTTTAATGCTTACAGCATTTAATCCTTGAGATATTACTGAGATCTCATTTGTAAACTCTAGTTAAACTGTTGTTCAGTCCTGTTGAATCATGCAAAACAAACCTGAGGTTTAATGTTTATATCACAGCCAGTTTGCCTCAGAGCAGAATAACTAGCCTATTTTAGTATTTAGGGCAGTGGCAGTTAAATATGTGCGTCAGAAGACATTGACTGACAACTAAACACACACACACAACATCACAACAGAGTGTATCCAATTGGTCAAACACCACAAGCGTTTTTCACTGTTGTAAATTCCACGCAAGTAAGTTTTTTCCCAGTATCCATTAAAACTAGTATTTACTATTGTCATTTTGCATTATTGACAAACTATTTTCCTAATTAATGCTGTTCAGTTGCTTTGACACAATCTGTATTGTTAAAAGCGCTATATAAATAAAGGTGACTTGACTTGACTTCGACTTTTTTCACAAATTCTGTGTTGTGCATTTACATTTTTCTGGTAATCAAATGAAGGCATAAAACATTAATTTAACTTATCTTTTGATCCAAAGAAGTGCTGCACAACAGAGGTTTACCATTAAAATTAAAACATGGATGAAACATTGTATGATTATTCCTTAAACATAATGGCCATGTTTGAATAATAATAATAATAATAATTATTATTATTATTATTATTAATACATTGAGACATTCTACTGTAAAATACTGATATATTTCTGTCACAGTTTCTTCAAGTTTAACCAGACTTTTATTTTGACGGGTTGCCGTAAAGAACAGCGCCATTCATTCAAGCAGAGACACGCAGAACATGCAGGATTCATATTTAAAGAGTCTTTTTGTGGTTTAATATTCACAGACAGTAGTCCATATCGCCGTTTGATGTGTACTGACAAAATCTGACAAATTCCTTGACATTCCGTTTTATAAAGTAAATTGATTCCGTCTGTGTTTTCCGTATCGCGGAAATCATGCGCCCATACTTTTGTGCTCTAGAGAACTCATGCAGATTTAAAACAAGTAAATAATAACAGAATTTCAATATCAAACAGGCAGTTACTGTGTAAGCATTAATATTCTGAGTGCATCACAACAGAGTCCATTTACCTACAGCCGACCATAAAGACTGACACCAATAAGCCTGAAAATCCCGTTAAATCCCTCTTAAGTAGCTGCATTCGCTGGCCACCCGTAGAGCCGAGTCCCGCGCTGCAGATGTGGATCCGTACACCTCAGCGGCGCAGGCTAAATCAGATCAGACGGCATCATAAACGCTACCTGTTCCTCGTAAATCATGATAAAACCACTGAACGGTGGGGCGCCGAGGTGCGCCGGGCGAGAGCGACATCTGCTCGGTACAGGAGCCGCGGCGCATCGGCAGCACGGGAAGTGAAAGTGCAGAGCCAGCCAGACGGGTGGAGCCCGGCGAACCCAAATCCAGTCGCCCGGCGAGTCTCGCTCATAATCAGGACAGCCAAACTCAAGATGAGGATATTCTAGAGCCCGACAGAACCGATATACACATCAGAAACGCCAAAGCTAATAGCCAGAGGATGATTTTAATGCTTACAGCATTTAATCCTTGAGATATTACTGAGATCTCATTTGTAAACTCTAGTTAAACTGTTGTTCAGTCCTGTTGAATCATGCAAAACAAACCTGAGGTTTAATGTTTATATCACAGCCAGTTTGCCTCAGAGCAGAATAACTAGCCTATTTTAGTATTTAGGGCAGTGGCAGTTAAATATGTGCGTCAGAAGACATTGACTGACAACTAAACACACACACACAACATCACAACAGAGTGTATCCAATTGGTCAAACACCACAAGCGTTTTTCACTGTTGTAAATTCCACGCAAGTAAGTTTTTTCCCAGTATCCATTAAAACTGAATTACCCATCCTAACGACCTCTTATACAGCCCTCATTAAAGAGTAATAGCCTCATTCAGAATAAGCTCCATCTCTGCTCGGCTGTCACAATGAATAAAGCAAAAGTCAGACGTTCATTGCACATTTTCTGACCGGAGAGGACAAAACGGTTCCTCCAAACGAACCAAGTGATTAAGGTTAATCAGGGGTCGTTGATGAGGGCAGACGAGCGGCGCTCTGACACTCATTTAAATCACCGTTTCATCATATTATAACACCTGCAGCAACACCAGAAACCATCAGCGCCATTTAATCTGTAAGAAACAGACAAACGAATGACTGGAATGCTTTATTAACATCAAACCATGAAGTTGGAAAATTAGCATTTTATTCCACAATCGCCATTTTTTATTTAATTTGTATTATATATACACACATACACATGTATGCATGCATAAAATATTTAAATATAAAATACAGTTTGAAAATGTGGGGGGTCAGTAACATTAATAATACTAATATTCAGTAATTACTTAATATTAATTCTTGTATTCAGCAGGGATGCATTAAATAGATGTGACAGTAAAGTCATTTATGTCACAAAAGATTTGTGTTTCAAATAAATGCTGTTCTTTTGAACTTTCTATTCATCAAAGAATAAAATAAAACTTTTCTGTTTTCAACATTGATGATAATCAGAAATGTTTCTCGAGCAGCAAATCAGCATATTAGAAGTATTTCTGAAGATCATGTGACACTGAAGACTGGAAATTCAGCTTTGATCACGGGAATTAATTACATCTTAACAGATATTCACATAGAAAACTGCTATTTTAAATTGTAATAATATTTCACAACTTTACTGTTTGACTGTATTTTGGATCAAATAAATGCAGCCTTAGTGAGCAGAAGATACTTCTTTCAAAGACATGAAAACATCCCAAACTTTTGAACTGTATTGTGTCTATAATTCCTGTAAATATTTGATCTGTGTGTTGCATCCACTCAATGAAAATGGAAGAAACGTATTACTGACTAACATGATTAAAGATAGTTGAAAATCCCCCCGAAACATGTTCAGCAAAGCAAACTCCAAAGCAGAGCAGACGTCTGTGTAATGAACTGGCCCGAATCTCATCTATTATTTACCGTGTTTCCACCTGCAAGAGCCGAGGGACAAAAGCTAGTTTAGAGCGGGACGGGATCAGCAGAAATGTCTGATGAAAGTAAAAGCGACTTTTATATCGTTGATTGTAGAGCATTTGATGAAGCTAACGCAATACACATAGATCTGGAAAGCTGCCACTTGCCTGCTTTTACCTTGACTCAAGCAAATAAAAAAAAAAGGTAACAAGAGGATATGAAGTTAAATAACTTCTTTTTGGTTAATTGCATCTGCTGAGTTCATCTGAAGAGATCATAATTAGAATTTCATACGGATCTAATTTGCTCTTTTTTCATGGCAGATCTAAAAGCCAGACTGTTTAATCTGCATGTTGAAAGCCAAACATGTGAAAGAGTAAATTATAGTTATTATCGTTTGGCCGTGCACTAAAAATTCAGTTTTTCAACATAACACAAAGCGAAATAGACTACAGGAGAAAATCATTCAAGTGTAAAAAAATAAATTAAAAAAATTTGAAAATAAAAAGATAAAACAATACAAGAACTAATGAAATTAGGAAAATAATTATACTCTGTCTCTCTCTCTCTATACACACAAATTGCAGAGCAATTATGGAAATTAATTCCTGCAAAAGATATATATTAAATCAAATGATCTATCTATCTATCTATCTATCTATCTATCTATCTATCTATCTATCTATCTATCTATCTATCTATCTATCTATCTATCTATCTATCTATCTATCTATCATCTATCTATCTATCTATCTATCTATCATATAAGTTATAATTATATACATATTGTTATATATATATTACAGTATCTATTTTTGTACATTATATATATATTTAATAATTTTTTAATTACATACGTTGCAAATGACAAATATTAAAAATATATAATTTTATATACAGTATATAGTCATTTAAAATATATATACACAATTGTAATTAAATATTTGAATATAATAAATTAAAATTATATAAAATTACTATATATATATAATTTACATATATAGTTATATAAGTTATAATTATATACATATTGTTATATATATATTACAGTATCTATTTTTGTACATTATATATATTTAATCATTTTTTAATTACATATGTTGCAAATGACAAATATTAAAAATATATAATTTTATATACAGTATATAGTCATTTAAAATATATATACACAATTGTAATTAAATATTTGAATATAATAAATTAAAATTATATAAAATTACTATATATATATAATTTACATATATATATATATATACACAATCATTTTTAAATACATTAAATATATTAATATATTAAATCAAATTAAATATAAAATTATATATATAACTTATTTGTAATTTGTATATATTTATTTGTTATTATTTTTTAATTAAAAAATATATTTATAAAAAATTCACTGTTTTCACACAATGCAAAATGAAATACACTCATTCTGTGTTTCTAACAGCTGTATTCTTTTGCTTCAATATATAATGGCCTCGTAAGTATGGCTGTTATATCCTACAGATAAAATCTAAAATTGGTAGCGGCCATCACGAGAAACACAATCACATTTGCATTCTAATTAAACCCTCTGTGCAGTATTCATATCTATGTATTTATCTGCGACATGGTGAGGAACGATTACACCTGCTGATAGATTAACAGCCGACGATTTAAATGACAGCTAATGGCAGCCGTAATGATACGGACACAGAGGAAGGTTTCAGAGAAATCCAGCACTCTTCACAGCGAGAGCCTGCGGCGGTCGGGGAATTAACACAAGCTGCTGTATAAATGAGAATGCTTTGCTTATTTATCCCATGATTCAAAGAGCTTTGCTGCGATATCCCAGCAGATTTGTGCAATGACATATAGCATGTAATCCGGCCTGTGATTGGAGGCATTTGAATGGGAAAAACACCAGAAAATGAACGTCTCACAAATTCATTATTGCTCTAATAATGTTGTTTGGACTTGAATGTGTCAGTAAAGTCAGAATGTCTCAACTGGCCTTAGTGTGAAAAGATGGATCTCAAAATCATAAACGTAAGAAAATCATAAACCTGTGCATGTGCAGGACCTGATTGATTTTTCTATAGAACAGCGGACAGCTGATCTGCTCAGGACAAACAAGGATGAACGACCATCACAAAACACAAAACAGTCGTGGATCATCCAGGTAACGACAGCCAGCTGAGATTCAATGGTACAGTAAGTACATTTTTGAATGGGGCATTTTTTTATAAATTCTGTTATTTTGTCTTGTGGACTATACATGTTAACATCTGTGAAATAGCTTATTCAGGACAGTACTAAATAAAAATAACATGCCGAGAATGGAAGCCGATATTTTTATAATATTATGCGCTTTGTACTGTAATGCTTTCTCACTGGTGAATGAGACGTGAGGAAATCTGACAACGTCGCGTTCAACCCTCCACTAACGCCGTCCCTCATCGTGTCGTTGGTCAGCCTCTGCTCTGCCTATGCGCGCTCATGTGTTTCGGAGGAGGCGTTGGAGAGTGATTATGCAGGGAGGGTGGGATCTTATGCTTTCAAAGCTAGCTTGCTACTGCTAGCCTCTCCGAAATCACCTACTCTACCTTTAAAGGGGTCATGAACTGGCTTTTTAAAAATTATTTTGTACGGTTGTCCACTTATGACATTCGCGTGATTTTTATATTCAAAAACATCAAAATCAATAAGTAATATTCTATTTTCTACCCTGGTTTTGAGGCCGGCTGGAGAAACGCTGGTAACACTTGGAAGTAAACGCCCACTGCTGTGATTGGATAACAGTTCTGCATAGTAAACCAACTTTCTGTGTGTCTGTTTGACAAGCTACCGACATGTTGGAGCCTTCTGTGACTTCAGTTAGACACATACACATAATCAAGACATATCAAGCGATCTCTAACAAAGCTATAGTGACATACAGTACAAATATTTTTTACTCACATAAGTGTGCTGCGCCATTCCTATCGCATCCAATATAGATGCACAGCCTTGCTTTTTAATCTCAGTCTTGTCGACTGTGTCTCGTTTACAAAGGAGTCCGCGGTGAAAAGAAGCGAACAAACACTCAATGTTTTACTCGTGTGAGCTGCAACTTCATTAAAAATAAAGTTCATCCACGCATTCCTAATATTTGAATCCGAAGGAAGGTTATGCAGCGACTGTGTTCTTCCAGGCACTGCACAATATTCTGCGATCTTTAACGGCATGTTTATTGCTTGGTTGCTCGATCCGGTTTAGCGCCTGTTATTTCCCTACAATGTCATGTGCGAATCAGTGGGCGGGGCTACATAATTATGTGTTGATATTCTTCTGTGGAGGCGGAGTTTAACAGATCTATTACATCATTGAATCCAGAATCTGGCGTCAATAAAAGCTTTTATTTCAGTAACAAGGACGTTTTCAGTTCTGAAACTATCTGAACTATCCCTTTAAGATTCAAGAAGCTACAAAACCATCCAAACCAGAAGCCTGTTTCTCTCCCAGAGTCCAGTGTGTTGTGCTGGTTTTATATAGAGTTTGATGTCAGTCTCCAGACAGCAGGTGTGCGGATGAGGTGACTGCAGCCTCTGCTTTTTTTTCTCTGCGGCCTTTAAGCAGAAACATCAGACCGGGCGCTGCAGTCTTTGAAGCGCTGCTCTCAGAGCCTCCTACACTGTGTGTGCTTGTTTGTTTGTTGACGAGAGAGTGTGTGTGTGTGTGAGTGTGTGTGTGTGTGTGTGTGTGTGTGTGAGTGTGTGTGTGTGTGCGCGTTTTTGTGACAAATGAGGACATAAATGTGTATAATGACAAAGGTATGACAGGTATTACAAGGAGAAGGTGACTTTTCAGGACATTACCCCATGTCCCCACTTTTCAAAACGCTTATAAATCACACAGAATGGAGTGTATTGAAAATCTGAAATAGCACAAAGTCTCCTGTGAGGGGTAGGTTTAGGGGTAGGGTTGGTGTAGGGCAATAGAATATACGGTCTGTACAGTAGAAAAACCATTACGCCTATGGAGAGTCCCCACTTTTCACAAATGTAAACCTGTGTGTGTGTGTGTGTGTGTGTGTTGCACCTTTGAAGGCTATTTTCTGGGAGGAACAACAATTACACTTCCTCCTACTCCAGTCATTAATGTTGTCGCTCCTGGAGGAAACATATTTGCACTTAAACACTGCGCTGCAGCGGCATGTAACAGGCTGAAATTATTCTTTCAGCCTATCTTTTAGCTTTTGAAACGTGAGGCGGGCCATTCTTTGAGCACATCTGTAATGTGGTCACCTGTCAGCCTCAAGAGGGACGCATTCACGGATACAACGAATGCCACGACACAAGCGCAACTAATGCGATAAACCGCTGAATCTCACTGAGCTGCCACAAATGACACCAGATGCTCGCAGCCATCAAAAGTGCCGTGACCCACAAGGCTTTGCAGTTCTTGGCCAGAATAAACAGCAATTTGCATTCGGTGCATTTATCAACATACCATATATTTTATGGTCTTTTGCCACTTACTGTATATTGATAGGGAAAGTAGAATTACACTGATAAAAAGTATTCTGTGGTGAAGTAAATACTACGGAAAAACAAATGTCATTTCTACATTAAATAATTTAATTCAGGCAAGAATAAAAAAAAAGAGTAAATTCTATATTAGCACTCAATTCAAGCTTGTCAAGTTTGAACTTATAAGTTGGAATTGTTGGTCATGTTTACAAGGATTCTTTGAGTAAATATCAAAGTTATGATACCGGTGTTTCCATCATGCGCTGGGGCATGAATAATTAATAAGGTTGAATTTTTCACTGTTTTCTAATTGTATTTACACTGCTTTAGGGGCAGTTGTGGCCTAATGGTTGCTGTTAGGGTTGGAAATCTCATTTCACTTTATTTTTGTTATTAAAATTAAGAAAAATAAGCAAATTACAAGCACAGCAAAACAAATAAATATGAAATAAACTTTTAATTTATTCAGCTACAGTAGGCTATGGTTTATTTAACGTGGTAAGAAATATTACAGAAATTGAATAAAGTGAAACTATCAAACATGATTAACGTTAATAATGACAGACAGCAGCAGGTAAATAAGGCTGCTGTCCCTTTAAGACTGACTGCACGGATCCAATATACTGAAACACATCCGGTTTTCACCCGACTGTTTTACACTGTGTTTACTTGAATACTCCACACGACGGGCATTATGACATAACTGTGTTTGTATTTGACCATTCAAACACAATAAAACACGAAAGAAATCTGTTTTCGCGATCGCTTGCCGTCTGAGAGGGGCTTTCAGTGCGTGTGCTTCGGCTGTGTGTCAGTCAGCACCAGCACTGCATTGAGTACTTTTTCACTGCTTATTGCACTTAATAACCCTACCAAGTGCGTCCCACTCTTTATTTTCTCATTCATGCATGTTTCCTTATCACTCAAAAGGTATATAATGTTTAAGCAGTACTGTTACTCAGATATATCTGCATACCGCGGAATACACGATATAGCAACTTTATTTCACTGTAACGATATATAGAGTCATACCGCCCAGCTCTAGTTGCAGTGTGTGTGTGCACTTGGATGGGTGAAATGCAGAGCACAAATTCTGTGTATGAGACACCATACTTGGCCACACGTCACGTCACTTTTATGGTTGCTTTTGTTGGTTGGTTTAGAAACCTGCTGTTTTGTGAAATCTGGAGTTCATTTTCTACTCAAAATGACCCATTCATTCTCAAACACTATCCACTGATTGTTAAGTATTGACGTCTCTGTGTTCCACACTCTCTAGTGAACCACATTCTCTAACAGCATGGCTATTTTCAGTGCTACATTGTATGAGTAAAGTTTAAAAATCGTGACTGAGTAAAATGTGCATGCAGAGATATTGCAGAGTATAAACTTCAAATAATTACGTAGAAATTACTAATCAAACTCTAACTGGTCACGTTACATTTACTTATTCTCTTTGCTTTTTACATAACTTAGTTAAGTAGATTTGACTTCATTCCATATTTAAATTTTTCTTTAAAAATATGTGTACAAAAACTTGCAAAAGAAAAATTTAGTAAATGTAACTTATTGTTTTTTTCAGTGTAGAATCAGGGTTATAAGAGTTAAAACTAAACTAAAACCTTAAACACTTCTATTACTTGAACTAAATTTTAAATGAAATGAAATTAAATAAAACACACACACACACACACACACACACACAAACATATATATATATATATATAGTTGCCAGAGCAACATTTTTCATTTTCATTTAGTTTAACAAAACTAAATAAGCTAAAACTAATAAATAAAAATGTATAAAAACTATACAGACATGTTTAAAATAATAATAATAATAATAATAATGAAAAAAAAAACACTATACAAAATTAAATTTTTTTTTACTACAAATAACATCTAATTCAGAAAATAAACAAAAACTAAAATAGTGTCTTGGTGATCTAAATATCTAAAATAACACTGGTTAAAAAAACAATGTGCTTTACTTATATCACTTTTTTTAACGATACTTTTTTAGTATTATTGTGATACTATTATAGTTATTAATATTATGAATCAATTTTTATTTTTATATTTCTGCTTTCATTTCAATTTAAAGTTGCAGTATTGTAGTAGTTGTAGTAATTTTAGTAGATTTTTAAATGTCTATATAGTTTTTATTCATTTTTATTTCAATTTTAGTTATTTTAGTACATCAAGTAGAAACTAAATTAAGATGGGAAATTTTGCCTTGGCAACTGCTGAAATAAAACGTGTTTTATATTTCAGTTAATGTTTATTTCAGGTAACAACATTTCCTTTAATAATTTTAGCTTTAATTAACTTAAATAAGTCACCGTTATTTCTATAGCGCTTTATACTGTACAATACAGATTAGTGTCAAAGCAAAAGCAGAAGAGTGAATAATGATTGAAGGTGTTGAATTACCGTCTCTGCGGTTGAGTTTGGCGAAGCCCGGCCCGTGACTGTTGGACAGCTCTGATGAACTTGTGAAGGCCGACTGAGGCAGAGCGGAAACCAGCGGAGAATCACAGCTCTCTACACACACACACACAGAAACACATGATGCACAGAGCTACTGTTCAAACGACTGGGGTTTGTTTGAAAGAAATTAATACTCATATTCAGCAAAAACCCATTCAATTGATCAAAAGTGAGAGTGAAGACTTGTTTTCAACATTGATAATAATCAGAAATGTTTCTTGAGCAGCAAATCAGCATATTATACTGATTTCTGAAGATCATGTGACACTGAAGACTGGAGTAATGATGCTGAAAATACAGCTGCGCATCACAGAAATACATTACAGTTTAACACATTCACATAGAAAACAGTTATTTTAACAGTTATACATTTTTTTCTGTGTTTTGGATCAAATAAATGCAGCCTTGATGAGCAAAAGAGTGCAGCCCTATTACCTTTTTATTATCGTTTGGCCATGCAATAAAAAGATTTGGGTGGCGAAAACTGTCTGAATGTGACAGGTGGATATAAAATAAAAATGAATTGTTGATGTCAGCTGAAAAAAAATTTGACTGAAAGATTTTAATGAAAGATTAGGAAGACGAATATTCATGTTTTAAAATAACATGCACTTGTACATCAGTCAAAACAAGACCTGGAAGTCGTAATAAGAAGGTAATAGGGCTGCACGATTATGACAAACATCATAATTGTTGATTATACCCTTGAAATTGTAATTGCGATTATTAATTATGATTATCACAATTTACATTGAATGATGTTTATACCATTGTTTGATGCAACTGCATGCCGTATAGGTGGAGGAGGAGCCCGAGGCGGAGAACCAACGAGCCAGGCGGAGGCGGAGATCCAGAGATCCGCGGCGGAGCGACTGAGGACCAAGGTGGAGCTGACGGGAGGAAGGAGCCCAACGAAGCCGGTAGGACAGAGCGACGAGGCGTAGCCAGAGGAGAGAAGTCCAGAGGCGATGGCGGGTCGACGCCCAACCAAGGTAGAAAAAACCTTAAGATAACCTGTAGAAAGAAAGAAAAACGCATCTTAAGCACGCAGAATAGCATAAGTGGACTTTGAACGATGAATTGCCGCTTTGAACGATTACGTAATTGTGATTGCGATTAGAAATTCGATTAATTGTGCAGCCATAGAAGGTAAACAGTCAGTTTTGATGTCATGTTGACTTCAACGTTTGTAGAGTAAATATCATGATGCTCACATCCACTGACATTCCCAGCAACCCTCACATGCAGCTCCTCAGCGCTGAAATTTGGGCACTTGGGGATGTTTTTAAAACCCATCCAGCTTTACATTTATTATTCAACTTCATAAGAAATTGAAGACTGTTTAAAACATTTTACCTACAGAAAAAAACCCTTTCCACAAAGCTGACCCAATTTCTCCATACGAAACACACGGTCAGGTGACCTGATTTATATAAAACCAAGCGTTTTCATACAGCATTATTATTTAAATATGTGCGAGAGCATGTTAAAGCCTTATTTCTTTACCCATTTAATGAGAAAGCGGTGTGTTGTGTGAAATATTCTGAACATTATTCCTCTAGTTTTATTGCAAACGGCTCTTGTTTGCATCCCCACCAGAACACAATAATGCTTCCGATTACTTTTATAGTAATAGTTATTCCCAGAGTGTGTACTGAATAATATACGTCGGAACATAATTGTCCTTTTCCTGGTTTGTATAATCAGCTTCTGTGCCTCTATTTAGTGTGTTGCTCCAATGTATAAAACTTTGAGCAGACGCCTGAACTTGATTGCTGCGATCATCTTCCCTCTAATGAAAGTCATACTTTAGAAAAACAGCTTCTCATTTTCATATCAGAGAGCTGTACAGTAAAAGCTTTGGCCCCTTTGATGGTTTTTGCAGTGACTGTCATTTTTTGTAAAACAAATCCTTCTGGACCTTTTCCGTCCCGTTTTCAGTGAGGAAAACAGAACTTCAGATGTTATAATAACAAACCAATACATTTAAACAAATAACAAAATAAAAATACAATTTAAAACAAAAAAACATAGAAGGTAAACAGTCAGTTTTGATGTCATGTTGACTTCAACGTTTGTAGAGTAAATATCATGATGCTCACATCCACTGACATTCCCAGCAACCCTCACATGCAGCTCCTCAGCGCTGAAATTTGGGCACTTGGGGATGTTTTTAAAACCCATCCAGCTTTACATTTATTATTCAACTTCATAAGAAATTGAAGACTGTTTAAAACATTTTACCTACAGAAAAAAACCCTTTCCACAAAGCTGACCCAATTTCTCCATACGAAACACACGGTCAGGTGACCTGATTTATATAAAACCAAGCGTTTTCATACAGCATTATTATTTAAATATGTGCGAGAGCATGTTAAAGCCTTATTTCTTTACCCATTTAATGAGAAAGCGGTGTGTTGTGTGAAATATTCTGAACATTATTCCTCTAGTTTTATTGCAAACGGCTCTTGTTTGCATCCCCACCAGAACACAATAATGCTTCCGATTACTTTTATAGTAATAGTTATTCCCAGAGTGTGTACTGAATAATATACGTCGGAACATAATTGTCCTTTTCCTGGTTTGTATAATCAGCTTCTGTGCCTCTATTTAGTGTGTTGCTCCAATGTATAAAACTTTGAGCAGACGCCTGAACTTGATTGCTGCGATCATCTTCCCTCTAATGAAAGTCATACTTTAGAAAAACAGCTTCTCATTTTCATATCAGAGAGCTGTACAGTAAAAGCTTTGGCCCCTTTGATGGTTTTTGCAGTGACTGTCATTTTTTGTAAAACAAATCCTTCTGGACCTTTTCCGTCCCGTTTTCAGTGAGGAAAACAGAACTTCAGATGTTATAATAACAAACCAATACATTTAAACAAATAACAAAATAAAAATACAATTTAAAACAAACAAATAAATGTAAACAAATTATTAAAAATAATAAAAATGAAAAACAATAGATGAATCAAATGAAATAATAAAATAAATATTAATATTTAAAACAAATAAAACAGAAATAGCTTTCAAAAATAAATGATGATGATAATATTAATAATTATTGTTATTATTATTTAAAATAATTTAAAACAAACAAAAATATAAAATCAAACAAATAAATGCAAAACATTATTAAAATAATAAAAATTAAAAACAATAGATTAATAAAATGAAATAATAAAATAAATGTAATAACACTTAATAAAATTTTTAAAACAACAACAAAAAAACAATATAAATAAAAACAATAAATATACACAACAATAATAAACATAATAAATATTAATATTTAAAACAAATAAAACAAAAATAGCTTTAAAAATAAATGACGATGATGATGATAAATTATATTATTATTATTATTATTTAAAATCATTTAACAAATAAAAAATATAAAAACAAACAAATAAATGTAAACAAATTATTAAAAATAATAAAAATGAAAAACAATAGATGAATCAAATGAAATAATAAAATAAATATTAATATTTAAAACAAATAAAACAGAAATAGCTTTCAAAAATAAATGATGATGATAATATTAATAATTATTGTTATTATTATTTAAAATAATTTAAAACAAACAAAAATATAAAAACAAACAAATAAATGCAAAACATTATTAAAATAATAAAAATTAAAAACAATAGATTAATAAAATGAAATAATAAAATAAATGTTAATATTTAAAACAAAATAAAATAGTATTTAGATATTAATAATAATAGTAGTAGTAATAATACAATATTTTTAAATAATTTAAAATTAAAATAAAAAAACAATTCAAAGAAGTAATTTAAGCAGAAGCCTTTAGGTTATTTTAAGGTTATTTTAAGATCATGAAAATGTAGCGCATACCATGGTACTGAGCAATTACCATAGTCACATACTATGTTATTAATGTAATACACCAAGTTACTTCACCATGATATTGCATCCAAAAAGTCATAGCGCATGCTGGTTTCTTGAGATACAGTGCATTATGGAGATCCCACTGAAGTGTTGGACAGTAAGAGCTGAAGCTCAGAAGAGCAGACGCAGCATTAACTGTGTGTCACTACAGCTGTCTCACGCTTCTGTGAAGATTCAACCTGTTAAACGGTACAATACATCCAAACCCCGCGCGTCTGAAAGCTGCCAGAGCTCTGCGACTCAATGACTAATGCCGCGCGATCTGATGAGAGGCTACATCCAATATGCCCCCATTATTTATTCAAACTTACACAGAAACTACTGAGCAAACTCCCCGAGCAGCACACTGTCAGCGCGTCAGCCCTTTGATCCGAGCCTTTATCTCGGGCAAACACACCTGACAGCCGGGCCACAATGCAGCCTTCAGCTGCGCAGAATTATTCTGTTTAACAATGCAAAACAATTAAGGAAAAATGTCATGATGACAGACTGGCAGAGCACAATGAGGGTAGAGACATCAGAAAACATCAGCGGCCATCAGATTAACTCAATGCAACATTATCTAACCAGGTGGGCACGAATGTCAAGACGCATCCCTGTGACGGCTAGCCATGAATAAAACATAAATACAGCAGCGAGACAAGAGCGTCATGTGGAGTCGAGCGTCATTCTATGTGGAGACTTATAAAACAAACATCAGTTGCATGCATAAAGAAATGCATAAGAGACTATGCATGTTTTATTATTCTCTCCATTTGAATGCATCGTTCTCATGCTTCTGTGACATATTTTCAAGCATCAAAACCGCATGGATTTCATTACGGGGAGAAACTTAAGATTCACTGAGATATTTCCCATCTGCTTCTTAATTCCCTCTTCTATGCAGTACATATGAAGTACGCAATGTATAAATATTAATTGACGCTGCCGGTGCAAGTTAACAAAGAGAATTGGTTTATAACTCAATATATCTGGGTTTGCGTTCAGCTCAGCGCAGGTTTAACCCGTTTTATGGTCCGGCAGCAGGACATTTCCCTGCACTGCTGCATACGACTGTGTTTCTGACTCAAAAGCCAGTGAAATAGGTCCTGAAACTCTACACATGAATTCATATTTTCTGCAGCATTCCTAATTCAGCACTA